GAGTAAAAAGAGGTTGATATTGTCGTTGTGGATTATGATGTCTTGTTTCAGCATTGATTTTTCTGCTCAACAATTTTTGATTTATATACTGTAAAATGACTAATTTTCACTGGGTTTAAATTTCACTGATTTACCATTTCAGGCATATTCAGTGGGTTTTAAATTCACGGTTTTATCATTTAGACAAAGTGTTCTATGCTAAATTTCACATATTCATTAGGTTTTAATTTAGCGCATTTTCCAGTCAGCGAAATAAGCAAAATTAAAACCCAGTGAATAATTACCCCTATTACAGTATAATGATCACTCACCATGTAATGAAGGCTGTATATTGCTAACAATTGTATGTCCATACCACCTGTAGATTCTTGCGGGTTGTCGTGAATCTGATCCGAATGCGAGAAACATGTTTGGTGAGTGTTTAGGAGAGCTTGGTGCAATTGATCCTGGAAGGTTAGATCTCATTACTAACAACAAAAGTGAAGATATCAACAGATTTCAGGTAAAATTTAATGCAAAGTAAGAACTGATTTGTTAGTTTCCATTGCAGGGATTTTTCTAAAAAAAACTTTTGATAATTCTAAGATAAAATGGAACATTCTATGGCATTGGGGCCAAAATTACTATCATACAGGTCACAGTTGAATACTGTGGCCACATGTGATCTCTGGTCAATCAGAGTTTTATGGTTGTCAGAGGATCTGCTTCCCAGGGTAAGAGAGTGCATGGCCATGGCATGAGGACCCTGCACCCATGCACCCCCTGTTCCCTTGTTTAAAAAAATCCCTGCGTTGAATGTATCCTGAAACAGGAACTTTTGTAAATGCTTTGGATACAATCTAACCGACATAATTTCTCAGACATGCCTGAACTAATTTTGTGATCTTACTATAGGCTGCAGTTGAGGATATCAATTTTGCGTATGATTTGATAAGTGAGTTGGCGAGGGCGTTCCTAGCTGCTGCTGATCCCAGAGTACAAGATTGTTCGGCTTACGCAATCCAGGAGTCATTGAACATATATGAATGTCATGATGGAAAGAAAGAATGGTGAGAAAATAAATTCTGAATTTGAAAATGGTTGCCTTTTTATTTAAAATATTGTATATGGTTCCACCATTGACAGTGGGTGATTTGGTGGGCGTGGCATGGTCATACAAATTTTTTAGCTTTGTTGTTGCTCAACAGTTAGTGTGTAGAGTGGAAATAGTGTGTAAAGAAGCCTTGGAAGTGGTCAACAATCATTACTTGGTAGGGAGTGGGTAATACGTTCATTCATTCAATTACTGTTTTGGTCATAGAACATAGACAAAAACGAGACTCACTTTTGTTGCATGAATGTATTGTTCCTTACTTGCCTTTAGCTATGGTCGTAGATTGTGGCGAAGATTTCCAGAACCAACGCAAGAAATACTAAAACCTCACCTGCATACAAGGTATTGCTTTAATCTTACCATTATAAGCGGCTTTGATTATAAATGTGTAAATGATTAGTTATATTTGATGCTTATTTTACCTCTGTCTCTGAAAACAATAGAATAAACCATTTCGTATAAAGCTGTATTGCATTCATTTAAAATGTATCTGCATTCTTATTTGTCTTTATTTGGGGTCAACAACCAACATTGAGCATGTTCGTTCATTGACATCACATTCAAACACATTTCTTTGTTTGCATTAGTTGCACAGTGCTAAATAATTGTCATCACCATTTGGGGCTGTTATCTCATTAAATTATTACTACAAGTATGAAACAATAAAGAATAATTAGATTGATATTCTTATATTAAATCACTTTGATTTAAAATATTACTGTAGTGTATTGCCGCATTCACACAACTTATCTTTATGTGTTAGATATGTACCAGCAGCTTCTTCTAACTGGTCTGGTCTTATCAAACCCATCTATCGAAGTAAAAAAGGTAAATCATTTAAAGACTGGGTGTGTACATGGACAGGATATTTGCTCACCAAGGTATGTGGAAGTTTTCAATCTTTTGTAAAATTGTTATAATAAATATTCACAATGAGAAATTTATTAATTTAAAACACTGAATGATAAATGTGGTACAATGTATATTTTCATGGTACATCAAAATTCTTGGTTTCCGGGGTTGAATATTTCTGATAGCTTACCTCCAGCGTCAGCGAGAATACATTTACTTGTCAAGCTTGCTGCATTCCAAAATTAAGAGAGTGTCCTCTAACTGGACAGAGCTAACACTCTGTGTGCTCTTCCTATCCTCAGCACACAATTTACATTTTATGTGTACTTGTTATATTTCCATTGTGGTGCTTAATTTGGGCAAAAACATGTTGTTTCTACAATAAATACTTTATTTTAGCTGGAATTAATTTTTGCTGAAAAGACTTTTTGGGTGTTTTCTGTGGATTTTATTTTCACTGATTTTTAACAAGTTGAATGTAAAATATTGAAAAAAAGGTATATTCACTGGATTTTATTTTCACTGAATCATTTCTTCAGCAAAAATAGCGAAAATTAATTAAATTACAATTTTACAATAGACGACTTACTGATACATTAACCATATCTCAGGAATAACGTGATTACTTCGAGACAGGACTTTCTCTTCTCTGGGAAACTGACTCTTATAATATTACTAAACCATTATTAGTTTACCTAGCAATGTAAATCACATTGCTGAAGCCAAATAAATATGAATAAATAAAAAACAGGTTTACTTTGTACATTAAAACAATTTTGTGTTCAGCTGTTAAATCAAACCCTTTACTTTCCTTCAAAGATTAAACAAGAGAAGCCATCTCGTGTGTTCAAAGCATGTAGTATGATCATAAAGCATGACACACAGACTGCCTTATTTTTGCTGCCCCATGTAGTGATATATGCGTTGTTAGATGGTACTCCAGATGAAAACCAAGAGGTGAGGTCACACATCGTATTCTTCCACGCTCTATGCTTAGTTTGTAAGCAGTCCTATTTTACTAAATACTGGAGGTATGTACGGTACCATCTAAACGGCAAATGAGACCAGTTTTGAGACTCTCTAACAGATGAAGATGCCAGACCGTATTTAAGGCCGATTTCGGGACTCTTGGATGCCATGAAGACTTTAGATACCATAAGTTTGGTTAATTCACCAGATTTTGAAGCTGCATGTGAATCAGACTCTGACTTTTATAAAATTATTAAATCATCAGGTTGCTTACATTTGTAGTGACAATATTTTATATATTAATAAAAGTTGCATGTGCACACATGTATGACATTATAGGAATTTATCAAGTTTCCAAGACAACTGATTCAAATCCAGATATACTTTTTAAATAATACTAATATTGAAACATATCTATAAATTTTGTGTATTTGACAGTTACTTTGCTTGATAAATTATCGTTACTGAATTTGTGTTTCTGTTCAGATTTGTACCGAAATTCTTGCCGTTTTGACACATGCAGAAAAGTTGGATGAGCAACAGGAAGGGGATTTCTGTCATATGAGCTCACAGACTGTCTTCTCAATCTTGGATCATTTGACTAAATGGACAAGGCATAAATTGAATACCATGGTTACGTCTAGAATTGTTAAGAAGGGTAGTTTCCCTGATCATGAAGGTGCGTTTGTTGATATTGCCTGTTTGTTTGTGGTTTGTTTGTTGGTTGTAGTTATATCTCTCATTCTTTATATTAACCATGATGCTCAGTTAGTTCATGATCTGTGAAACATCTAATTCAAATACCAAGAAGACTGAGATATATAATCTGTCTTTAAAGTAAACACAAACAGGACTGAGAGTTTTTTTCGACTTTGTTGAGCGCACCAACTCAACCTCACATGTGAGTGATTGTTCGTCGTCGTTCGTGTCAATGTTTTACTTTTTTGACTTCTTCTTGAAAACTACAAACCTTGGTGATATGTACCTTGGGTAGACTTCTCTTAGATTTGTTCATTTCATGATGATATCTTCAATTCCCTAATTTTGGTGAATATTTTTGTAATTTTTGGTAAAAAGTGATATTTTCGACTTCTTGTTAAAAACCACAAGTCCGATTGCTTTTATATTACATATATAGGTACTACATGTGGACCTCTTTCAGATTTGTTAATTTCGTGGTGACATCTTCAATAATCTAATTTCGATGATTATTTTTGTCATTTTTGTTGAAAAGTGATATTATGGTTCAGAGGTCGTTTTCACACTTCTGTTTGTCAACTTGTCAAGGTCCTGGGCATGACGTTAAAACTGCATCCGGTTGTGGAGTTTTTGTACTTGGGAGAATGAAGTTACCCTTTGCCACAACTATCTCCAGGTCACCCTTGGAAAAGGTGTCGCACCTGTCAGCCTTCCCACATAATAACTTTGGTTGAAGTCAGTAAGGGTATACGGTCATAAAAACCACGCACCAACTCAACCTCACATGTGAGGTATTACCTGATAATGGCAACGTTTACGTTTATTTAAATTTGTATATATTTGTCCTGGGTAAGATTTTAAACTACATCCGGTTGTGAAGTTTATGGACTTGGGAGAATGAGGTTACCCTTTGCTAAAACTACCTCCAGGTCACCCTTGGGCAAGGTGTAGTACCTGTAAGCTTTGGGTGCCAACTTCCCACGTAATAAGTTTGGTTGACGTCAGTAAGGGCATACGGTCGTAAAATTCCTGCACAAACAGATAGGTGGACAATATTTTATGTAAATATGTATATATATGTTTCAGTTTTCCTTAGCATTTGGCGGGGGGGGGGGGGGGGTCGTAACCTCTTGTAGTGAGAACCAGTGTGACTGACCTGCCTACGGGATGCTAAGGTTTTATAGTAAAAGTTATTAGTCACATCCGTTAACGTAATTTTGTTTTATTTATCCGTAAATCAAAAATCACAATAAATACAATACAATACAATACAATACAACACAATACAATACAATACTTGTTTTTAGTAGTAATAATGGTACGTTACTGATTTGCTTGTAATTTGACCCTCAGATGATCCACAATACAAGAAGGTCAAATGCTTTCTGGAGAAGATACCACAAGATGTGTTGGCAAAGGCGTCTTTCAATTGCAAAGCTTATACCAGGTCTTTGATGCATTTTGAGGCGTTTATTACAAATAAAAAACAAGATATACAACAACATCTGGGATTCATGCAGGTATTTACAAAACTGGATTGCAGGGATGCATTTGATGTTGAAATACTATCAGATTAACCTTTTCACCACCAGTCATTCTCGCCCAAATTTTTCTGCCATTTTTCTTATATTCTTCAATATTTCTGGAAATTAACCCTAATTTTAGAGCCAACAGACAAAATTTAAGTCAATTTTTAGTTTCTACTAAATATTTGGCTATTTTTGTCCCAATCTTCTGAAGGAAGGTGCAGACTATAAACAGGACTATTTTGTGATGAAAAGAGGGAACTGGTGGTGAAAAGGTTAATACATTAATTAGTGAAACTTTTTTGTAAAGGCTAATAAATAATTTTTGGCTGGCTTTCCCATGAATAGTAACTGATGAAGGTATATTTGAAAGATGCATTATTGAGCTTATAGAATACACTAATTTAAAAATATATATATAATAATACTGATGGATTGATTTGCTCTTTTAGAAATTGTATGTTATGATGGACGAGCCAGATGGTGTGGCTGGAGTATCAGCAATCAGGCAAGAGAATCCATCCTTGCATGAACAAATTCTGGAACATGAGAGCACTGGTATGTTCATGTGAGGCATCCTGCCCTTAAAAGTTGTGAATATTTTCAAATGTTACAATTGTGTTCGTTCGTTCATTCATTCATTCATTCATTCATTCCATGTGTGTGGACCTGTATGGTATGAAGGTGTGTCCATCCTACACCAGGTAAACTGCATGTGTGATTTGTTATAGCTGACCGGCCACCCAGTAGTGTTTTCTATTCACTTGTCTCAGCATTTTCAGTTGGAAGAGTAAAGTTGAGTCATAGCTGGTTGCTCCATGTGCTGTTTCTGTGTTTGTACAAAATGACATTATATCTCGGTATAGCTGAAAAATATTCTCATTGTTAATTAGTCCCCGTTCGTGCGTCCGTCCGGAGTCATATCTCAGAATCCCTTGGACTGATTCCGTTCATTCTTTGCATGTGCCTAGTACTTTATTTGGGACATATGCACATGCAGTGGTTTAGCGAATCGATTAAAAATGGCCGACTGGCAGCCATCTTGTTTTTTGAAAATGTCGTATTTTGGACATGCTTTGTCAGTTTTCATTCAAATGTAGTACATAGATCATACATGTTAGGATACATGTCCTGACCGTCCGTGAGTTCCTGAGTCCGTCCGTCCGTCCGTCCATGTGTCCGTCCGTCCATGCATCAGTCTGTCCAGAGTCATATTTCAGAATCCTGTTGACCGATTCCCTTCATTCTTTGCATGTGCCAAGCACTTTATGTGGGACATATGCACATGCAGTAGTTTAGCGATTCGATTCAAAATGGCTGACTGGCAGCCATATTGTTTTTTGAAAATAGTGTATTTTGGACATGCTTTGTCAGTTGTCATTCAAACTTGGTACATAGATTATACATGTTAGGATACATGTCCATGACGATTTATTTCACAATTGGATCAAAGATGGTCGACTGGCAGGCATCTTGTTTTGTTTTTTTATGCAGTATCTTGGACGTGCTCTGTCAGTTTTCATTCAAATTTGTACATACATGTACTTTATACATGTTAGGATCCATGTCCATGACAATTTGTTTCAAAATCTGGTCAAGGATGGCCGATTGACAGCAATCTGACTTTTTGGCCTTACTACTATATTTCTACAATTTATGTACCATTTTCATTCGTATTTGGCACATACATCATACATATCAGTGTGTATCATAATCAGATCAAAGATGGCCGAATAACGGCTGTTTTTATTTTTGGCCATATTACTACTACACAGAACACGTGTTTTGATGTAAATAAACAATCTGTTGTATACGCCACTTGGAAGTCAAGTTTCAAGAACACGCTCGTGACAACCCCTCTCTGCTTTAATATGTTGAGCACAAAGGGACCTTTCAAAAATTTAACGGGGACTGTGTCATTTTCAATGACTTGTTTAAATTAATGTTTTGAATTAAATTTTTGTTAAAATTAGAAGCTACAACTCTAACATAAGCTGCACCCATTCTTTGTGTGCAATTAAGAGCTGAAAATTTACTATTTCGCAAAATTAGAAACCACATTCCCATTGCATTGTACCATTTCAATAGAAGCTGCAGATTTTACAGTAGTCCTAATTTTTGGCGAAGTTCACCCCTGTGCATCAGTATGACATTTTATTTGTGTTATTCTGGAACTGGATCTCAGTCATACATTCATTCAAACATTCATTTGTAGTATCGAGTTGCTCTGAATCTTTTGATGAATTCCTGTGCATACTCTACTATGTTTTACTGATAATTGTTTCTCTCTTACTGCAGGCCAATTACGTGATGCATCAGCCTGCTATGAGCGTGCAATACAGCTGGAATCTGATGATGTCTCTCATCACCAAGGATTGTTAAAATCTTTAATGAATTTGGGACAACTAAGTACTGCCCTGATTCATGTCAATGGGGTTTTAGCTGATAGGTATGTTATCATATTGTTATCTTAACATTTTGTGATAAAGTTGACAATCAGCATATGTATATTTTCCTGCTTATCTTTACACTAACAGGAACTCATAAGTTGGAATTTATACGTTGATCCAGAATCAGACTGGTCCAATTTTGTTCACTGTTGGTAAAAAGACTAGACACAATGATCTACCGTTCATGTCAAATTGTTTTTGATTAAAAAAATATGTTCGCAGTTATTTACTTAAAACTACGTTCCATCATCAATTGTTCTTACCAAAATGATATTGTCGCTGGATGCAGCGAGAGCGCTAAATATTACCGATAAATATGACCGGTACCAGCTAAAGGCTGCCTATCAGTTTCAGTGTGTCAACTTTATTACTGTTCGATTACGCTCTTCCTTTGGAGTTTTCACGAGCTCAAGAGCGTAGTTTTTTGTATTGTTCTAAACTTTATTCAGTTGACAATAAACGGTGTTAGACGAGTTACATACTATGAGACGTTGCGTTATCCATAAGTCTGCAAATTGAACCTGCTCAGCGACGCCTGATAAAATACAGCTCAGTCATCAAGCCACAGATATCATTCTACCTCAACCTACTTTTGGTTTTGAAGATGGCGAAATGAAATTCATAGTAGCTCAAATTAACCATTGGGGGTGCTGTGCAAAGATACAGAAATACAAATATATATAGGTTTTTATACAGAAAATAAAACTTCCCCATCTGGTTTAATTCTATGTGTTGTTTTAGAAAGAACCACTGATCCTTTTTAGCATAAAGTAACTTTGAAGAAGTAACTACCGCTATGAATTTGGTGAAAAAAAAAATACTCTTTACTCGAAGCCCCTGGATTTCTTGTTGAAAAATATGCAATACTGTAGAATACTTTATTTTCGCTTGGAATTTATTTTCGCTATTTTCGCTGAAGGGATGATTCCGTGAAAATAAAATCCAGCGAATATACTTTTTTCCCTATATTTCACATTAAACTCATGAAAAATCGGTGAAAATAAATTCCAAGCAAAACGCCCAAAAAGCCTTTTCAGCGAAAATTAATTCCAGCGAAAATAAAGTATTCCACAGTATGCAAAATATTTTTTTTAGGGGTCTGGCCTTACTAGTTGTCAAATTTATGTCCAACTTTACTACTAATTTATCTTTACATTCTGTCATTTGCATGCAGAACTGAATGGACAACAGATCTGAACTCCTATCGAGTGGAAGCATCTTGGAAGTTGGGACAGTGGGACTCACTGGAGAACTACTTGAAAATAGAACAGAGTAGTAATTGGTATGTGGGATTGGGAAAGATTCTACTGGCGGCTAAGAAGAATGACGAACAAGAATTCCGACTACGATTGAAAACAGTGAGAAATGAACAGATGGGACCCCTTTCAGCTGCAAGTATGGAAAATGGATCATATCAGAGAGGCTATGAATACATTGTAAGGTAAGCTAACATGTAAGTGTGATAACTTAAAACCACTGATTGAAAAGTCATATAGATAAACCAATAGCAATCCTTCTAGGTACCAGTAGACTGTAAAAAGGTTAATTATTCACCGGGTTTTGATTTTGCTTATTTCGCTGACAGGAAATGCGCTAAATAAAAATCCGGTGAACATGTAAAATGAAGCATAGAACACATTATCTAAATGATAAAACTGTGAATTTAAAACACACTGAATATGCCTGAAATGCTAAATCAGTGAAATTTAAACCCAGTGAAAATTAATCATTTTACAGTATATCAATTTTGTTAAATAAACAGGTTTATTGAAAAAATTTGGTGATGCGTTTTTTTTTTCTTCATTGTTCGGTTTTAAGTTTTCATTTGTGTCTTTGTGTTTTTTCTTCAAATACACAACAATAAAAAGTGTGTGAGCAGCCATTTTAGCCAACTTGCACACAGCAGACCTGGTTGGCAAATAGCAAAATTATTTTTTGGCTGTAATTGTAACTTTAATAATAATTACCTTGTGGTTTGAGACTAAAACCTGATCTGCTTTACCTTTCAGATTACACATGCTAAACGAAATTGAGCGTGGTGTGAAATGCCTTGTTGGACTGAAGTCTGATGACCATGATGAGTACAAAGACTCGCAACATCAGATATTAACTAACTGGCAATCACGACTAGACATAATCCAGCCATCTTTTAGAACACAAGAACCTATCTTATGTTTACGTCGAGTAATACTTGGACTAGTAGAAGAGTAAGTCTGTTTCTTCAGAAAGTTTTATTATTTTACATCTGCATTTTTGTCGGAGAATTTGGGCGAGAAAGTCTGATAGGGAAATGGTTAAGGAGCCAACATGTATATCGCTCGACTGATAATTGTTGGTCGTAATGATTTCCAAATATATGCTGTTCATTTCTACTACATTCAAATAGTATGCCGGACAATTCTTTATGGCTTTTGCTGTCCAAGTTTGTGTAAGTTGTACGGCCACCGGCAGCAAAAGCCATATCCAGTTCATAAAGGTTTTATTATATACCGTATAGGTGTAATTACAATTTTACCTCAAACACATGACGTAATTTAGAATGAAGTGTTTTGTTTTGAACGGGACAGGCTTGATACGGGAAATTATTGTCCTGATGTGAAGGTGCACTTCCCATAGCGTTACGAGGCCAGGCAATATGAGGTGTATAATTGTTATTGCACTCTCTTCTGTTTGTTTCAGTGATGCATCAAATTCTAATAAAGATATTGGACAGTGCTGGCTGCAAAGTGCTAGAATAGCTAGAAAGTAAGTTGAACTTAAAATATGCCCATGATGAAATGTATTGATCAATTTTGTTTGAACTTTATTGTTGAACTTTATTTTAATGCGTGTTTTGGTGCTTACCATATATTACAGAGATGGTCATGTACAGACTGCATATAGTTCTCTATTAAATGCTAGTGCCTACTCTATGTCACAGTTCTGTCTAGAAAAAGCCAAATGGCTGTGGTCCAAGGTAGGTATGATCATTATATATCACGTCAGAAGTAATATTTCCTGTTTGAAAATTTATTGGTATATTGACTATTTTTCTTTTCTTTTCCTAGGGTGACCTGCACCAGGCATTGATTACATTACAGAAAGGAGTAGAGGACAATTTCAATGAAGATAGAAGAATAAGATTATCACATGATACAGAAGCAATACGAAGTGAGAGATTTACACATGCCAAGGTATATTATAGTCAGTGTTACCTGTGTACACATGTCATTTCATCATTTTTACATTTTTAGCACTACAAATGTTTTATAACTTTGCGAGTTTTTTTTCATAGTAGAACATTTTTTACATACTTCCTGCATGAAAACATTAACACTTTGATTGTCAGCGTCAACTTTACTTCACACCATAAACCTATATTTTTCAAAATGATGACAAAGGCTTGTAGTCAATGGAAAATATTGTTTATTTTGTAAAAAATTAACTTGTACTAAGTGTTGCAGCTTTTTGGGTAAAAATTTGCATTTAAGAGGTTATGTAGTGTATTTACTCTTTTAAAAGCAGATCTCAAATTAAATGCGCAGGTAAACCAAAAATCACTGGTTTGGTTGTATCCTAAATCATTAGTTATTTTGACCATGGAAAAATCTCTGTAAGTTATGTAAATGTATGCACAACTGAGAGACCAAATATGGTATTTTGATTTTGTTATATGAGAACGTGATTTACTTAGGCTGTAATTTTCACGGACTCATCTGTATATCTAGTTTATGTATGGTTTATGGCACTTTGCAATATATGTTTATATTTTATATTTTGCTGTTTGTCCAGGCTTTACTATTAGTTGGACGGTTCATGGAAGAGACAGCTAAGTTTGAGAGCAACTCTGTGATGAGACAGTACAAAGAAGTAATATCAGTGCACAAAGAATGGGAAGATGGGCATTTCTATCTAGCTAAGTATTATGATAAATTAATGTCTACAGTGGCTGATAGACCAGAAAAACATGGGTAAGTCTTATTCCCAAATTATTAAGTTTGCAGTGAGTGACATACATGAGGCAAGGGAGCCTGATAAAGGGGCGTGGCATAATATTGGCTTGTCGGATCTCAACTTACAACAGTTTCTATGATACGTTTTTTTTCAAAATTATTGGAGTATATCATTTGTTAGTACATGTATATTTATTCACCTATTGGAGGTTGGAGTCACTGAGTTATAAAAAATGCATGGCTGTATAACTTCAGAACCTAGGAATTTGAAAAGATTATGTGATTTACATCTTGTAACTATTTTGTTTTCAGGGTAGCTAAATATTTGGCCAGTTTTTGGTGCCCGAATTTCTGCCTATGGACTTAAATATATAAATTATTTATTATATTTAATGTTTTGTTTGTTTTTGCAGAGAGATAGTATTGTATATTATGAAGCATTTTGGTAACTCATTACAATATGGTAACCAATATATTTATCAGTCAATGCCACGCCTTCTTTCACTATGGCTTGATTTTGGTGCTAAAGTCTCAGAGCAAGAGAAAAGTCGAAAATCAGAGAAAGTGTCAAATAAAACAGTTCTTGGACATCTGAATAAAGTAAGTGTGGCATTACAGCCTTATTAGTAGTGCATGATTTCTCATAAATGTCGGTATATATATATTAAAATAGATAGATTCAGATGGGACATGTTATACTGTAGAATACTTGATTTTCGCTGAATATACCTTTTTAGTCCCCGTTCGGACGTAGTCCGAAAACAGGGACTTATGTTTTGCCCTGTGTGCGTCCGTGCGTGCGTCCGTGATCACCTGTATCTCGAACATGCATGGACCGATTAAGTTCAAACTTCACTCATACATCACACATTATATGGGACATATGCACATGCATTTTTTTCATGATCCGATTAACGATAGCCGAATAGCGGCCATTTTAAGGCCGAAAATGCATCAAAATTGCACATTTTCACCATTCCGGACCTCAGTTATGCATGGACGGATTTTGTTCAAATTTGGTACATACATTAAACATAATAGGACCTTGATGCACGTCATTTTTTTTTCCGGATCAAGTTCGAAATGGCCGACTGGCAGCCATTTTGGTTTAAAAAATTTAGTTCTTGATCCGTATCTGAGACATGCCTGGATTGATCGAGTTCAAACTTCACACACACAAGGTACATCATGTCACAAATATGTATGTGCATTTGTTTCATGATCTCATTAACGATAGCCAAATGGCGGCCGCTTTAAGGCCGAAAATGCATTGAAATCGCACATTTTCACCATTCCGGAATGGGTCTCAGTTATGCATGGACGGATTTTGTTCAAATTTGGTACATACATTAAACATAATAGGACCTTGATGCTCGTGATTTTTTTTTTTCGGATCAAGTTCGAAATGGCCGACTGGCGGCCATTTTGTTTTTAAAAAATCAGTTCTTGATCCGTATCCGAGACATGCCTGGATTGATCGAGTTCAAACTTCACACACACTAGGTACATCATGTCACAAATATGTATGTGCATTTGTTTCATGATCTCATTAACGATAGCCAAATGGCGGCCGCTTTAAGGCCGAAAATGCATTGAAATCGCACATTTTCACCATTCCGGACCCGGATCTCAGTTATGCATAGACTGATTTTGTTCAAATTTGGTACATACATTAAACATAATAGGACCTTGATG